CCTTTAGTTTCTTCCTTATTGCAGGAAAAGAAGGACAATTACATTTGATATGATCCTGACCAGACAAAGAGTGAGTGTAGTATGAGTAATCTAGAAGGCAACTTGATTAAAGGCATACTTTGAGTATCCCCAAGCACCGCCCAAAAACACTAAAAGATTTCTGTGGCAATCGTCCCTGTACCTGGCTCAAAGACAAGAGAATAACCTTAAATTAAAAAAAAAAATAAAAGTGGTCAAGACTGCAGATGCTGATCCATGTTTATAATGGCACTAAACAGATACTGAGGAGCTGAGACTCCCCATTAAATTCTTCTGATACAGGATACCTCTGTATAAAGTTAAAAAATAAAGGCTGGGAGAAAAGACTTGATAGAAATGGTGGTTGAGGCAAATGGCTCTGCCTGACATTGTCCACTCCTGTTTCACCTGAAGTAGCTGCATTGCTCAAACTTTAGGAGAACTCCACTGAACTGACAGAGTTTAAACCAACACTGAGGATATGGAAATGTTTTATACTAATAGCACCATGGCAAATTTCCTCAGCTGGAGACTGCTAAAGCAGGGTTTGTTTGGTTTCTGCATCTGCAGAGAAAGACATGCAGGTGATGTAGCTGCTGGTCATGGCCAGAAATGATCATCCTGATAGTCACAGATGTGCTCACCTCTAAGACTTTGCTTATAGAAGAAAAGTGGTGGGGTTTATTTTTTTTTTAATGGCATTGAGTGCTTATATAAACCCATGATTGAAATATTCAAGATTCATTTGGGCCACATGAAGTGCACCTTACCCATTCTGTGAGGATTTCAGGCTATATTTTTATTCCCTCAATACTATCAGTCTAAAATGTTAAAACTTAGAGAGCATAGCATAATAAAGCAGCTTGAACCTAAGAGCTCTGCCAAGCATTACATCAAATCTTTCAAAGAGTGAGGTTAGATAAAGCACCAGATACACAGCAAATTCTTGATTGAAATAAAACACCAAACATTTCTCCTTGGCTGGCAACAGGTGAATTCACAGAACAGGTTTCCTTATACACAGGAGTTTCTTTTATAGCAAATTCAAGGGTTTCCCTGCTTCCCAGGAAAATTCCGTCCTGCAATATGTTTAAAATGTTATCAGCTTGGAAAAAAATAACACTGCTATAAACTGATGGGAAAGGAGCCCATTGGCTCTAAAGTTACCATCCCCGGGTCGGGCACTCGGTGCTGTTTGGGGCCTTTGTTCAGGCTCAATCAGCCGTCGAAAATCAGCGCTCCCGTCACTGCCCGTGCTGGGCGGGATGAGCAGGAGGGATTCTCGCAGCCAGGACTGGCCACTAATTACCTGTTCAACCCCCTTGTAAATATCTGTCAGAGTGGGGAGAGCTCAGCTCCCGGCTCAGAGGGGACTGGGGCAGCAGCACCTGCCTAGGACTCCTCCTGTGCCCCCAAAGTAAAGACATCACTGCAAATAACATTCCTTCCTTCTTTCCTTCCTTTCCTTCCTTTCCTTCCTTTCCTTCCTTCCTTCCTTTCCTTCCTTTCCTTCCTTCCTTCCTTCCTTCCTTCCTTCCTTCCTTCCTTCCTTCCTTCCTTCCTTTCCTTCCTTTCCTTCCTTCCTTTCCTCCCTCCCTCCCTCTCACATTCATGGGTTGTTAAAATCCCCAAGTCCTAAGCTTCACCTGCCTGAATAGGATGGGGAAGGTGAGTGGGGCTCCCTGGGCCTGCAGTCACTGAAAGGGAAATTTATCTTCCAAACAAATATCCAAGAAATAAATGTGGTGCTCCAGAGGCCTTTATTCCTCTGTCTTGCACCCTCAAAAAAAAATAAAATAATACAGACATGCTTTGAAAAAAAAGATAAATGAAGAAAGTTTTCTGATAACCACTGGAATTTTTCCTGTCACAGCAGGGAACGCCACGGGGGAGCGGGAGCCTGTGCCCGTCAGCAACAAACACACGGGGTGTCTTGGCTGGGCTGTGCTCCTCACCACGACATCAAAATAAGCCTTTCATGGGCTGTTTCCTGGGAAAAGGGTTTCTTTTTCCACGCGAGCAGGAATGGTGGGAGGCCGGGCCGCAGCCCCGGCCGGCAGCGCAGGTGGGTTCGGTCTGCGCGCGGCACTGTGGGAGCGCTGCTGCCAGCGCCGAGGGCAAGGGAAGGAAAAGGGGAGGCGCGGGGGGAGCTGAAAATTTTGCAAGAGCAAACAATCCTCCCGCGGGCAGCGGTAAATAAAATAACAGCAGCGGGGTGATTTGCAACCATGTAACGGGCTTTTGTCTGGGCCCATTTCTCGCCGCCGGGAGGGTTTCTGTGTTCCCTCTCCGCAGGGTCCCGATGTTCCCCCTCCGGCTACAAAGGCCGGGGGCTGCGGCCCCTCCCCGGGCCTCCCCCTCCTCCGGCAGCCTGGGGGGCTCCGGGGTGAGGGGCTCTGCGATTTCGGGGTCTGAAGTGCCGGTGTAGGATTTGCCACCTTTAAAACAGCTTTTACTCATCTTTTTAAAGCTTTTTTTTTTTTTTTTCCCTCAGTTTACATGAAGCCCGTTGGGCATTTTGTTCCCTGGTGGAAAGTTAGGAGTATTTATAAGTCTAATTAGAGGCATTTATAAGAGTGATTAGTATGAAGCATCAGCTGCTGGCGGCACTCTGTGTGTCTGTGTGTGTGTTCACACATGGATGCAGCACTACAGTTTACAATTTCTTTCTGTGCCTGAAAGCTGTGAAATGCCCTTAATTCTCCCGGCCCCGATGGCAACATTGGGCAGTGTGGGTCTGTCCAGTGGCTCAGCACCACACAGGATCACATCTCTGGGGAGGGGTTGTGGCCCCCAACCTTTGTCCACTGATGTAGGAGCAAGTGCCTAAGGGAAAAAATTAAATGTACAAAATTAAAAAAAAAAAAAAAAAAGAAAGAAAAAGCATGTATGTGTTGAAGCCTGTATGTGTTAGACCCATAGGACAGAGATGAACATGGCCCCACTCCTGCCTGCCCACGGGCTGCCCTTGCAATCTCTCACCTCACAAGTGTGACGTTGTCTTTCCATCTTTTTCCTTTGTTGCTGGGTATTAACTCCTCATCCTCACCCTCCCTGGACCTGGGTTTGCAGTACAGATGCAGATTTCTCCTGGGGGAGAGGCTCCCACACCCTCTGCTTTGAGGAGCAAAACCCTCTGCGGGTGAGCTCAAACTGCAGTGGGGCTGTGGGGCTGTGGGAGCTGTCCCGGCCTGAGGGGAGCTGGAGATCTCCGAACATCCCGGGGCTGAGCCGGGCTCAGGGGGCTGGCCCTGCCGGGGGGGGCACAGGGACTCTCTCCGGGTGCTCCTAAAACATCCATCCTGCAAACCTCGGGGCTTCCAGCCTACAGCCACTGCCCTGAGCCTGGGGCAGCCCCTCAGGCTGCTCTGCATCCAGTGAGCACCCCCCAAACACCTCATCCTGCTGAGAGCGCCCCAGGAACCACAGCCTGACCACAGCCCCACTGCTGGGCTCCAGTGCCACCACAAACCAGACTGGCTGACCAGCTTTTGAGCCAGGCTTTTCCCGAGGGCTCGCATTGAGGTCCTGCTCACAGGCACAGGACCTGAGCACTGTCCATCTCCCGAGACTCCTGGGACAAGTGTCAGTGTCCCTGCGTCTCCCCTGGCCCAGTGACAGCCCCGCAGGTGCCGTGCCAGAGCTGCTGCCTGCACAAACACCTCGAGCTGGAGCTGGTTAAAACGTCTTGAGGCAGCTCCTAGGAGTTCAGGCCCTCCTCGACCAGGGATTTCTTTTTTCTAGTCATCATATAAACAGAATTAAAAGGTCAGTGCTGCCCCCACATGCTTACAAAAGCTTTTGGTCGGAATGACTCGAGAAAGATAGGGAGATATGTAGGGAACACTTTAATAATGTATTTGTTTTGCATACCTGTGGTTTGTTTCCCTGTCACAAAACAAACAAACAAATAAAAAAACCTTCTTTGATTTCTGCTCTCAAAAACTTATGTGAAAAATATCTTCAGATTTATCCACATCAATTTCAGAGCTACATTTAGAGCATTTGCTGCAAAAACAGCCTGGAGTACAGTTCCACTGACACATTGGGATAGTTTAGCTTGACTTTTTAATATTTCTTTTTGGGGAGGCATCAATAAACTGATGGTCCCCAAAATCACCTACAAAACAATCTTTTTTTTCACTTAGTCTCCCTGTGTCTAGTCCACGCAGCCCTTATAATCCACATAGTGATCTTCCTGATGGCAGACAGAAATTGCTTTTTCATTTTTCCTGTGTCCATGTCTGTACAGCTACAGAAAGTCCCATACAAACTGAAGGTGGAACACAAAAGAGAGGAGTTACAATGAACTCACTTTACTCCAAGTAGTAGCAAGTGGCCATGTGAAGGGATGTACAAAAAAACCAAGCTATTTTTCTGTCTCTGGTCTTTTCAGTAACAGGGAGGTTAAGGTATCCCTCCTGGCAGGGGGTGAGACTCAAATGTCACGCTGAAGAATGACGTTGTGTGTGTCCCTTTAAAAACTTTGAATAGAAACTAGTTTAAATTTGAATCTAAAAAGATAAAGTGAGCTGGATTCAACCTGGAGCTGGCTAAAATGTTTCATGTTGCATGTTCATGAGGGGGAAAAAAAAGGCACTTTTTTTTTTTTAATCTAAACGTTGCTTTTGAAAATTTTCAGTGGCAAAAACATTAAAACACTGCTTTATTTTATAACAACAGACAGTTTCTTTCACTTCAGAGTTACAGCAAGAGCCAGACCCTACAATGGGGTGGAGATTCAGCTTGGAAATCCCCTGAATTTCTGGCTCAATTTGTCCCTCTGCACAAAAACCAGGCACCAGAGCCAATAAATTTGTTTCAAACAAGTGATGTGTACCCAAGCCCACCCCAGGCAGGAAGGATCAGGCAGGATGTGGGCTGCTGCAGAGCAGCACTGCCCACCCAATCTCCATGGCAATGAGGGGTCTCACCAGCTGGGGCAGCCCCAGCAGCCCTGGAGGGTGTCCTGGGGTCTCCAGGGGCTGCAGCAGGTGGCAGCCCCAGCCAGGTCCCCCAGCTGACCTGGCAGAAAGCCATTCCCTTGTTCTGTGGGAAAGAGGGAACCATAGGAAGGTGCTGGGAGGGATGAGGGGACGGGGAATTGCAGGTCCAATTCTGTGTAGGCGTTTTTCTGCAGTCCCCAAAAGAGACATTGCCACTATAAATTTCATTCAATCTTCATTTTACTCTTTGGAAGAGACTCATTTGAATGCATCTACTAAACAAATCTCTCTTCTTGCCCAGGCTTCTTTCAGCTTCAGCTGTCCTGAATATGAAATCTCCTGCTGGAATACAGGTACTTCAAACCAAATCCCTGAATTCAGAGAGTACTGAGACCAGAGGTGGGGTTATAAAACAGATTGACTTGGATGGAGTAATAATAAAATTTATGATCCTACTTTCCTTGTTAACCTGGCTACACAGGTACCAAAATCACAGCTGGAAATATACAAATGTCATGAAGCCACACAAAAAAATAATACAAAAGTATTTTAATGTTGTCTGATCAGCAATTCCATTTTCAGAAATATAACAAATACAAATGGTATTATTACTCTGTAAATGTCTTCCTTCAGACCCTTTGAAACCTCAATGCAGATTTTTAAATACATTTTCACAAAGAAAACTGTGTAGAAAAAGAACAAAGAATTACAATACATTTGAGAAAAGTCCTGAAATTAATTTCAAAAGGACATGACTTTAGCATAAGAATACATTTGGAGGTAGAGCAGTTTTTGTTTGTTTAGGAATCCTCACATTTTTTCCAGCAGGAAAACTGGATGGGCACGCTCTGTACCATCCCTTGTTATTTTCAATTAGGTAATAGATGTGAAGTTATTTTGTCTTTGTTATAAATAGCCATTGGTAGTTCTGAGAAAGGTATATTAAATGCCAGAAGGAAAATAAGCAAGAAGAGGTAACATGGAGCCTGATCCTGCTAACTCCTGCTCCTCCAAGCAATCCTCTTTCTTTTCTACTTACTGTGCAGTCTAAGAACTTCAGGATTAAGTCAGATCTTAGAACCATAATTCCATTTATTTGTAAAAGCAAACATCCCTTTTGCTTAACATAAATGTTTTTATTTAAAAGGAGGTTGTCAATTTGAAAGCGTTTTAAATTCAGATTTAGGAGAAACTTTATGCGGTTTCACTCAGGCCGGGGGATGCCGAAGGGATGGGCTGGATCCCGGCAATTCCAGCCCCAGAGCTGCCCTCCCCAGCCCCAGTCACCCCACGGCAGCAGCTGGGTGAGCAAACAGCCCCAGTTTGGATGCAGAGCACAGACATGGATGAGCTCCTGCACAGACCCCTCGGGGGCCCAGCTCCCGCAGGAGCTCCAGCGCCAGCGGTGCCTCCTGCGCCCCGAGACCCCACACAGCCCCTTCGCCACCAAAATCGCTGCTGCTCCAAGAGCAGTGGGGAAAGAGCTCCTGGGATTCCGGTATCACAGCCCTGCCATGAGGCTGGTGGGGTGCTGGCAGTGCTGCAGCGCGTTCCGCTGGGATGGGGACGAGCAGCTCTGGGAGTAAACAGGAGGCCCCACACAGAAACAGAGGGACAGGAACCCAAAGCTGTCACCCGTCACTGAAAGTTCTCCGAGAGTGTGTGCCAGCAGTGGTACCAGGACACACAGGGCTGTGTGCACAGATGCTCACAATTTGCTGTTTCATATTATAGCTTTTTTCCTCTTGAATTGTCTCCTGTAAATAAAGATGGAACAGAATGTGATTTAATGGTCACGACATTTTTCAAACAGTATTACACAAGTGTCCAGCAAAAAAAAAAATCCCCAAAATGCTGTAGCAACCTGCAACCCCTTTCTCACATGGATTAGCAAATGGCTAATTCTGGTTTGTTGCCTGCAAGTCTCAGGTCTGAGTTTTGTTACATTTTTAAAGCCTGCATTGGGAGCTTAACCAGAAACAGTCAAATCATCCTTTTTGAGACATTCTTAATTAAATAGCGTCATATGTAGTCCTGCAAAGGACTAAAAATATTCAGCTGTAGTTAGGTTTCTTTGTTTATACATTTCATCCAGCTCAGGAGTGCTGCAAAATAAGTCAGCAGTTGCCATCCTTTTTTCAAATAATATACTTTCTAAAATAAACTATTTTATAATAGTTTGGATTCAGCTAATGGAGGAATACCACTGATTCATACATTCTTTTTCAAAGAAGACTGGTCTGAGCCATTAAATAACCAAAAATAAGTCATTTTTCCCCAAAACTATTAGACTTTTTCTCTTAAAAGAGCAGTAGGGCATATTTTTTTTTCTGAGTTCAATATGAATCAACTCAATGCCTCAATTTCGATTGGCTAGGTATGAAAATCTCAGGACTTACTCAGGTTTTCTCAATGTCTCAAGTGTAAGAAGAGAGTCATGTTACTCATGCTTACCTCTGCCAAGCAGCAGTTGGAATATAGCCCCTTCAGGCAGAACACTGTGAACATATTAAAGTACTAAATGATTCCCAGGAAATTCATAAAATGTCCTTTTCTAATGATTCAAGGTATTTTTGTGGAGGCAGATTATCTGCTATTTTTAGCTTTTCCCAGTGTCTAGCTTGTCTAATTGCTCCTTGTGCAAGTGCTCTGGCCCGGGGCTATTTTTCAGCTCTAATTGCAAAAGAAAGGATTACATGGCTTTGCTTGTGCTGGAGATGGGGCTGAAACCCTCTGAAACAAAACCCTCCACCCCTCGGTTTCATAGCTACCCAGAACATTCACTCAGTTTGCTGGTCTCATCTATAACTTCAAACCTGCTGACAGCAGGACCACAGGTAGGTACCTGCTGTGTGCTGCCAGCTGTCTGGGAGCAGGGCAGTCTGACCAGCGCTGGAGTTTTCCAATTGATGGGTCTCTCCTCTACTTACACAGTGCAGCAATTACCAGAGGTGTTGCCTTTGCAATTTGCTTTGAAAAGTCATGGAGAGATTCCCATAAAATGCTCCTTGTTGCAGTTCTAGTTGAAAATCCTGGAAACAGCATAGAGTAGTCAGGCTCTATGCTGGGAATGGGCAGTGAGCAGCCAATTTTGGTTTTAAAGCTATCAACTTACCTACTTACCTAAGTCTGGGGAAGGAAAACCAAAATGTCAAGATATTTTGACTCTGTTCAAAATGCCACAATCAGAACTACCTAAGCTGTACTACCTGAACTTTCAGAAGATTAAAAAAAAACAAAAACATTTTGTGCCCAGGTTTATTTAACATGCTCTTCAGGGTGTTTTCATCTCAGCCCACTGGGTAACTTTACCAAGCAGCAGTCAGGCAGAAGCCCCTCTCATTTCAGAGCTTAAAACTCACAGCACAGCTCCTCCTAGAGAGGAGGGAGATGGATCTCCTCCAGCAGTGTGGAAAACCTCAAATCTGCAATTTTGCCTTGTCTCCATAAAGAGTGCTTGCATTTTGGCCCAAGCCCGAATTTGCCATTAAAGTAACCCTTGTCTATACAAATGTTAGGAGACTGTCCAAGCACCATCACAGCCTGGTACATCCCTGGAAAAAGCAGCCACTGTCATCTTCTGTGAGGGTACAGCACTCCTCCAGAGCAGCAGCTATCTGAAAATAATTTCATTTTCCTGTGATAATACAAACAGCAGCACAAAGGCCTGGTCTATGAGAGCAGTTGTGCAACACTCAATAATTTCACATCCTGGTCTGAAATATTCCACAGGCAGTTGGAAGGTCCAAGGCTGAGATCCAAAAGCACCAATGTATTCACAGCTATGCAAATATTAGGAACTACTTGTGTCTCAACACATGCAACATCTTACATTATATTTAGCAGACGGCATTTAAATTCACCTGCCTTCAAGCTATAAAGATTTACCAGAACTTGTGAAAAAAACTGGAACAGATTAAGCCAAATAATTTTTCAGCTATTACTCGTTTGAGGTTTGTTTGAGGTTTTTACCTCTTGGGAGACAGAGGTTCCTAAATATTCCAGTGGGCTGTAAGTCAGTAACACATCTGAGACACTCTGTCCTCATGCATGCCCAGATAGCCCTGGGTTTGCTCCCTGTCTCCTGCTTGCTCTCAGCCCATGTGATGCTTTGTTTACTCGCTGCAGGAGCAGATCCATGCACCAGCCATTCCCAGCAGAACCATTGGGAGTCCAGGATTTCTTATGTCAGAGTCTGCAAACACTGGGCACTGATGTGTTCCCCTCCTCCCCACTCAGCTCCCCTCTGTGTTTTGGGTTCAAAGTGAAACTATCCCAGACTCAGGGACCTCGAGAGAGCAGGACTTGGGAAACACCAGGAGAGACACTGAGGGCACGAGCGTATTATCAGAAAGAATTTGAGTGCTCCCAGCAGCCCAGCAGCAAATTAGAAAGTTTTGGCTCCCAAGAATGAGTTGTGTTGTTTGTTCCTGCACACTGCAGCTGCTCGTCCCTCTCCCTCCCCACCCCCCTCCTTTGGGTGGTTTATTACACACAAGCTACTAATGAATGGGAGCCGCTGTTTTACAGTACACCACACTTACAGGACTTATCTCTAGGCCTACCACAGATTTGACTGATCAACAGCAGGGCACCACCATCATAATTCTTCCTAGAAACAGGAGGATAAAAAGGGGTTTGTTGGAGGTTGGCTGTGTCTGCAGAGAATCCTGCCTGCAGGGCCTGCTGATGCCATCACTCGCTGCTATGGTCTTTGGCCTAATAAGGTACAGAAACAAAGATTGTTCACTTGTTCAAGAATACTAAAGTACCCAAGTGACGGAAAGTGGAGGCAGCAGGGCACACATCCAAGTGGGATTAAGGCCACAAGTGCAACGTTACAGGGCTGACTGGGTGGCAGAGGGAATATCTGCCTCTGAAGAAAAAAAAATCCAGTTCAAACATAATTTATAACATGTCACTCACAGTCAGAGGTGGCTGTCATTAAGAGTTAAATGTTGCATTGTGTTCAACTTATTCTGATAAGAATTCTCTAAGCTGCTTATATGTTATCATAACTCATGAATAAGTGGAGCGTGGGCAGGGGAGGGGGGAGAGGCTCTCTGGGGCAGGATGGGACCCAGACTGGGAGGCAGAAACGCTGGAGCAGAGCTGGGCTGCTGGATCCTCAGTGTGGTGTACCCTCAGTCTGCACATTCCAAGGACTCCACAGTGAGTCTTAGACCCTGCCAAGCCCATGAGACTTGTCACAGTCCAGGCTCTACTTGGACAGATCCACCTCCTATGCTTTTGTGCACTTCTCCAGTTGGGGAGCCAGGCAGTAACACCGAAAGGATCTAAAATGGTGCATTCAGCCTCTGCTCAGCTGGCCTACACAGCAAGGCTCTATGAAGGTTTAAGAGCTGGAGCTGAAGGAGAAAAAAATGGGCAATGTTGTAGCCAAGTAAAAAGCCCCTAAGTTAATACTGCTTACTGGAAATGGAACTGGGAACCCAGCAGAAGAGCAGCAGAGCAGTTCTTTAGGGACAATATTAAATTCCTCTGACTGACTTGGCAGTTTGGAAGCAGCAGGATTGTTTTCTCTAACTTAGGGAAACCCAGCAACAGACCCCACTGAAGTTCAAGCAGCTAGATCAGGCCCAATCCCACTAAACTTTCCAGGCTTATCAGGGAATTTTTTCCCTACAACTTTTTCCCTACTTCATTTTGGGTGTAGAGAGAAAAACCTGCGTGGAATAAGAATTAGAATCATAGGAGCCTGTTCATTTGCACAACTCATTGAGTGCAAATAGCCACTGTAATTCCCAGTTAGAAGCATTTCTCTGGTGCAGCTCATTCAGAAAGCAGCAGTTTGTTTACTCACTGGCTTGGGCTACCTGGATCACGTTACACCTGCTGAGGCTGCTGGTAATGTGGGAGGTTGATTTTAAACTGGCACTGTTGCTTTTATAAAGCCTTTAATGTCATTGGCTCTGGCTGTGTTCAAGATCTCACCCATCAAGCCAAGGCTTAAGGGACTTTGGGCTGAGACATCCCAGTCCTCTCAATTCCCTTGTCACTCAAGTCAACAACCACAACTTTGCTGAGGTAGGTGTGGGACAAATATTTCAGTCCCTGACCTGTGCCTGGTCTGACTAAAGACCCAGGGTCTCTGATTTGTCACACTAGAGAAACACTGCAGCAAGTACCTGGTTTTCTGATATGAGTATCTGACCTGCTACCTCAGTGTTGTCTTCACCCGTGTTGGAAGGCCAGAGGGTTGATCACAGTGAGCTCCTGGTATCCAGAGGTGGCTGCAGGACACTGCAGCTGCAGGGGTACATGGTGTGTGTGCAGGCACAACAATGCTGCAGTGCATTCATGTTTTTGGCCTCTACAGCTCTGAGGAGCTGTGGATAACCTGTGTCCCTGCAGAGAGCAGACAGCTCCCTGTAGCCACCTCTCTTCAAGGGGAAACAAAAGAAGACCCAGGAATTGCATCCACCCATTCCTGCCCCTCAACCATGGCAGTATCTGGAGCACACCCACGCATGGGAGGTGAACCCATGGAAACGTTTTTGTGGGTGGGTGTCCCCACGGGGGATGTGGTGCAGCTTTAAGAGTGTGCAAGTCCAAATCCATTTGTCTGGACACAATCAGCAGAACTTGTCAAAAGAAAAGTTAAAATAGATGTAACTGATGTGTGAAGGCGTGTTTTACCCCGCTCTAAATTCTGCTGGATACGTGAGTAGAGGCAGGTAGTAGATTAACTATGCAGCTCAGAGACCATTAAGGCTTGCAGAGGAACAATTAGTCCAGAATTTGCATTTTATGAAATTGAACCTTTTATAAATCTTACAGCACAGCTAATGGCAGAGGTTTCTTCAAGTATTTCCCTGTGATCTTTGTCACGTGGGGTTTGTAGCATCTTGCCAGGATTATGAGAACCTAAAAACGTAAAAGGCAATTTTTCAGCAAAAATTAAACCCACTGGTTTATCTTTACCATCTGTGTGAAATGTAAACAGAGAGAATAAATAAACAAATACAGAAAGATACATTTGTTTTAAATAAATGTGAACAAAGGGTTTGACACATTTGCAGTATGTAATGCTGGTTTTAAAACATGATTTCAACCACCTGACACATTCAATTAAATACAGAAAACTCTCCAGGTTGTATTTGCATTCTGGAAGAGCAGCTACAAAAGAAAGTGTAAGTGCAGCAAATCATTCTGAAAATAAACTGATTTGAACAGAGAATGATTTCTCCCTGAAAGGCTGCAGTACCACTGACTTTGTAGTATTACTTGAAAAAGCTGCAAGTATCTTATTTTTCCCCATAAAACAGATCCACTTTGGGAAGGGCAGACTGACATTTTGATCTATCTTCCAAGAAACCATGAGAGAAAAAAGTCACTTCTAGAAGCACAAATTTTCAGTAAAGCCTCTTTTTTCTCCAATATTCAGGGAAATTCCTAGTGCAGTTCATAGTCTTTAATAAGAAAACAAACAAACAAACAAAAAACCCCCTGCAGCAATAAATGATGGAAGAAAACCAAATCCCTTTTCCAAGCAGTGACACTGCCACTTTAATAGCTTCCCACTGTACTTGGGGTTAGTTGCCAGAGAAGCCTTGTTCAGCCTATTTGGGGGCCCCATGAAATGCTGCAAGCGTTACTGAAATGAGCACTTGTCTTTTGTTGAGCTGCATGCTAGCACCATACAGTGCTGAGCTGATAAATCCACTTTTTCTAACACAAGCATTTTTCAAACAAAACTACCATGAGACTGATGAGTAATGCCAGCTTGCCAAAAAAAAAAAAAAAAAAAAAAAAAAAAAAACACACCCCTCCCAGGCGCTGCTGACACTGACAGCTGTTAAATTCACATATTCACAAAATGAGATGGGTTACATAACTGGAAATTACAAGAGCGACTCACCAGCGAGAGGAACTGCAAAGCAAGGCATCACTGGGGCTCAGGAAGGAATAGATCACACGTTCCCATGTGCACTGTCCCACTGATGGCCGGGATAAAGCTGTGCCTTGAGCACACAAAGGTTGCCGGGCACTCCTCACCCTGCATCAGCAAGCTGTTTGTAGTTTGTTCAGAATTGAGATTTTTTTTTTCCAGCAAAGTGAGGATGCATGTGGAAAAAGGATATATTAGTGTTGCTATGTATGTTATGACACAAGGGCAGTTTAAAAGCCCAAATGTCACATTTTGCAAGACACCATGCAAAAGCAGTGACTCTGAAAGGCTTATTGGCAAGTCTCAAGCAGCTGAGAGGGCGGCGGAGAAGGTGAAGTGCTGGGTAGAGTTAGGTTTGACACAACCTAGGTAGCTTTTAATTTGCATCAAATTTTTCAGACATATAAGTGGTTTGCAAAGATGTTGTTTTTATCATTCTCATTGTATGGCCATAGAGCTGAGCTCTGGAGGTCTGTTATCTTCCCATGCAGGACAGGAAGGCAGTGACACAATGTCACCACCGCATCACCTGCCCTTATTTCAGTATCTATTTCTAAATTGGTTTGAAAACTTCAACAAAAGCACCTGGTTCTGGAAGGGCCATGGAACAGATGATGGAGAAGAGGTATCATTAAGGGCTCCTGAGGAATGGCAGACTGTGGAGCTGGTGGAACAGCTCAGGAGAAGGAGCAGTGAGGGAAGATGGCAATGTCTGCACAAGCTGCCAGGCCCTCACATGTTGCTGAGATTGCCAGAAATGAGGTTCTGAAGGGGGCTAATCTGGACATAAATCAAACCAGAAAACAATGGATGTCTTTATGAATAGCCATAACAAAAAAAAAATTCAGTAATTAAACCACCATTAACACCAAGCTAAATTTTACACATTCAAAATGATCTATGCTTCAATTTTTTTCTGCTCATGGCTGAATTCATTCCTCTTACATTGTAAGAGGGGTTTTGCTGTTATTAAAAAAAAACAAAAACCTAAAAGCTTTTTTTTATAAGCAAGTTTATCAAACAAGAAATGAAGATGAAATGACAACTAAATGCATAAAGTTCCAATGTATTTTATCAGGTTACTTATAATAAACTAGGCTAATGCAAAATCAAGATGCACAGACAAATCAGGAGGGGAAAAAAAAGAAACACAGAAATGAATGCTTTGAGAGTGATGTCACCTAAGCTGGTGTGTAGGTACAGTCTGCTGCGTAGGAGAGCAGTGAAAGCATAAACAGAATACTAGATGTGCATTAAGCCACAAACAGAAATAGCTGTGAACAATGGCAAAGTCTGGCTGCTCTTCCAACCTTAATGTAAGGAAACATCTTTATAAAAGATGAGACAATAGCGAGTCTATAAATGACAGCCCCATAGGCAGGGAAGGATTAAGAACTTCCTACAGTTCCTAAAGTATGAACCTATACTGTAACCCTTCCACAAAGGCAGCCATAAGTGCTTTCTCTGAATTAGTCCACCCAGAATAGGAAAAGGCATCAGAATTAGTTTGACTTTTCCTCTGGACACCAGCCACACACTCTCAAGGCAGAGAGGAAGGAGTAAAAGCAGACGGAAGCGCAGCACTTGTTTAGGACCTTTTGCCAGCACACCTGTGGGTCCCAGTGCTCATTTGCCCTCCCTGCTTCCTCCAGAACCCAGAGACCTTTGGCAGCCCTGATCCAGGCCACGGCAACGTGCTGCTCTCTAAAGCTGAGCTTCTTTGGCCCTGCAGACACTGGGAATGCAGGCTTTGCACACAAGCAGACATGAACTAGGCTGAGGCTTCAGCGTCCATTTAGCACTTTTATTTTATTTATCTTATTTTGAAGTTCTTTTGTTGTTGTTGTTGTTTTGTTTGTTTGTATGAGTAATAAAATACATTCATTTAACTGGGCATGTGTTTAATTTGAAAACATTAACAAAACACCTCCCAACACCTCATGGCCCATGACCTGAGACATATTCCTGTACAGGAAACATCCTCTGAGCTTTCAGGTAGCAGACTACCCTCAGACCTCAGATTTTCATGCAGACTGCCACATACTCATCTAATAAAGAATTGTAATTGAGGACTATGGACATTACTATTTAATACAATTCCCCAGACCAGCTGCAGTGAAAGGCTTCATGGGTTATCAGTGGTGCATAGGGCAGGGGCTGGGAGCCACCACAGACTTTGGTGATTCTGCTGGTTTATCTCTAACACAGCACTAAGCTCATTCACATACATCCCTCTGGTGAAACTCAAAGAGCCTGCACTTCAGGGAGTTTTCCAAGCAGTCAAATGTGAGTGAGTGCTTCACTGCATTGATGGGGAAGAACTGTCCACTGCAGCTACTGCTAACACAGGCACCTCTAGGCACTCCAAATCCTTGGATGTGGATGAACTGAACAACGTGAAGAGGTACAAAACATGCAAGACCAGGATCTACTCTGAGTGACATTTGTAGATTTGCAGCTGATTATAAATTCCATAAGATCTACAGAAGTCAACACTAAAGAATTTGCAGCAAGTTAAAGCTCTTGAGATCTCCTTGTTGCCTCTGCCAACAATTCCTCATTCCAAGCTGGAGGCTTTAGGGAAAATTTGGGGCATTTCTGGTCCAAAAGTTCCAGTGGAATAGTTCTATCTGTTTTCAGAAATGATCCCCTGTTTGTCAGGTAGAACTTGGTCCCTGAGTGTTGACAATACAAAGCAGATATGAGTATATATTTTTAAAAATATAAAAAATTACCCAGATGGTTTTAAAAATATTGAAGATTCACCATCCAGCTATTTACAGTCCTATTTTAATTTTTTTTTCCTGAAAAACAAGCTAATATTCTGATTCTCACTGAGGGCTGTGAATTTCATCCCCCCAAGCTCAACTCCCAAGCCACTCCCCTGAATCAACATGCTTCCTAATGGGAATAAATTCTTTTCAGCAGAGCTCTGTTAAAAATGACCACCAAAACCAAACTATTATTAGTATTCAGGGTAGAATTAAATAGTGTCACTATGGATATTTGAATGTGCAGGTGTGGGCCTTAAATTATTTTATGGCAAAATTCAGCCCCATTTCTTACCCCTGGTGTTCAAACCTGCTCCCACTGGAGCAGATTATGATGACCCTATAAGAGACAGGACCTTGGCCAATAGATCTGACAATTACCAATTACTCATGTGAGCAATGCACGAGGTCTTGTAGCAGTGGGAATAAAACACAAGAGCAAATCCACTTGCTCAAATGGCAAGTTTCTAGATTCAACAACAAAATCAGAAATCTGCAACAGCCCCTCCATTCCTCACATAGTTTGTTGCTTAAAATCTTAAAGGAAAAAAAAATATCATGTTCTCTATTAATATGATCTTATCATGATCAGGTTTTTTTCCAATAAAAATACATAATTAGTTTTGTAGCTTTTCTGTTTGTACTGCAAACCAGTAAAGGAAAACTGTGAAACTCACACATTTTCATTCCACACTATTCTGAATGTTACCTAACTTCCTAGTTTAAAAATAGATTACAGGGATTAGGAGACTTTTGAATCTAAAAAGAATGCACATATTAGGGAAAATGCTATCTAAAATAAATAGCCCATTTTAAAAACCAGTCTCCTAGTTTGTATGATATTAAGAAAAAAAACACTTCATAGACATTTAGTTTAACACATGCCAGTCAGCTTCATTTACAAGTTCAAAATCCAGAGGTAGATAAAATATTAGTTTGGTTTGGAATATGCAAAGTGACAATTTTTCATGTATTATTGCTCTGAAGCACTTGATACAAAGTTATTATAGAAGGAAAAAATAGTTACCAGAAGGATTTATTTAAGGAATGGCTACTGCAAATAAAAACTTTCAACTAAAAAGGATTTTTAAAATTGTTTTTTAATATGCTTTTAATGACCTCTACTCCTCATACCTACCTCCTTGCTTCCCAAACTGTTTGTACTGTCCCCAATAACACTCAGTGGAAAGCTGTCGTTCCTGGCTAAATCCTTACTTAGGTTGGATGCTATGCCTCCGTTAGACAGGGTCACAAGGTCACAATCGATTTTGGAGGCCACCTGGAGAGTCCAGGCCGTGAACTGACTCAAAAAATTTATATCAGAGCTGGAATGGTCCACCTCCCAGGGCTCAGCCTGCGCTAACACCCCAACCGCAGGATGGAGCCTGCCAGGCCCAGCTCAGAGAGAGGCCAGAGTTGTTGACCCCGTTAGCTGACCTCTTCAAACTTCAGGAGAATTTTTCTGGCAGTTACCACGGTGACTGGGCACTCCAAGCTTATCCTTCTTACTGAAAAAAAAAAAAAAAAAAAAAAAAAAAAAGACGAAAAATTAAGAAGAAAAAAAAAAAACAAAAACGTTAAAACCTACCTCGTAGGGATGTCTATCAAGAATCAAATACATAAAAGTTTTAATTGTTTGCTTCTCTCTTGGGCTGCTCTGGCTCTGACTGGAACATCCGATGCGAGCATCGAGAGAACAGTTTGGCTAAAAACATTTCAACTTGTGAAGAAATAATGCTCAGTGGATTTAACTAGAAGCATTTCTAATATCTGCTGGTGATCACAAGTGACACACTAAGAGGTTTATTGTGAAATAATATTTATTTTTCTTTATCTTTCTCCAAGTTACTACCACTTCTTATTGAACTGAGAAGAAGCTGAGACAAGGTTAAGGGAAAAAAATATTCTATGCTGCCTTCGGGTTTTTTTCCTTTTAAAAACTATCTGCTTGGTGAAACATTAAGTATGCAGCAACACATTGCTTTGGTCTCTCAGAAGAGACGGCATAACCTATTTAATGTACCATGAAATATTATTTAAGAGGAAAAAGCAAAAAAAAAAAACCCAAAAGTTGTCAGACATCGTTAGTGCTGGTTTTTTCAGGCACTTTGAACACTAATCACTTCACACATAAAATTTAGCAGGTAAGCAAGGTCTCGTGATGCTGACAGAAAACACTTGAAACACATCAAGGGATCACAGAGCACACTAAGTAAACAAGAAAACAAAGTGCACTCTTCATTTCTGAAACAATAAGGGGAAAACTGGTGCTTCTTAATTTCAGAGCAATCACATATTACATACAAAGCTTTTATGTAAATTTTCCTCATGCTCCTCTACTTGAAATAGCATCTTGCAAAAGGGAGCACTGAAGAGTACACTGCATTATAGCTGGAAAAATCCTACTTAAGGGCTCCTGATGGCAAACTGTCAATCAGTATTCCCCGCTTGTTATGAACTGCTCATTTCTGGAGTACAGCTAAACAGAGGTTTAATGATTGAAACTTTAATGGCATTTTGTCTCACACATGGTTCTGAAGTGTCTTCTGTTGTTTGAAGAGTTAAATATGGATATTCAAATTGCTGCTCAGGCACTGCTCTGCTCCTCCTGGGCTTCTCCACTGGCAGTGCTGAGATGGCAGAGGGGACCGAGCTGCTGAGTTGCCTCTCATGGGAGGAGATCACACATACCCTATGGATACAAAAATAAAGCAGGAGGTTTGGGTGTGGGAAGCAAAAAGCACATAACTGATCTTTTGTTCCAGACTTACTTTTCATTTCTGCTGGAAGGATGAAAAAAAGGCAGTCCAGCATACGTGTGTTAACTAACATTAAAAAAAACAGTGAATGCAGGCACGGTACAGGACTCTTTCTCCTTTCAAAACTGGTTCAATTGCTTTGAAATATCATATGCCTCAACGCTAAATGGATACATAGACACTTAATAATATTATTTAGCAATAGTGAATTAAACATGAAAACAATTTAAATTAAAAACACTTAAAGATTGTTTCCCCTATTATTAAGGATGTGTTAGAAAAAGGCTAAGCCTCTCATTAGGAGATGAATTTTTTCATTTGTGTTTTTGTTATGGCTATACAAGATGTTTTTATACTTTTGCTTTTTTTCTCTGCATGAAATAATGTAAATTGAAACAATCAGGTGACTGATCATTAGGCTAGTGGAAAGAAAAAAGTATTTGTTAAATTCTATTTTTTTTTTCTTTCTTTTTGAACAACACTGTATATACAAGCATGTGCCTTTCAATTAGATACCATGATTTATGAAGTCATGCTCAGGGCTAGCCAGGTTGTTGACTCAGATTAGAGCTATGATGCCAGCTCATTCCCTGGTGACAAACACTGACTGTCCTTCCCGCAGCCAGGCACCCCTGGCAGCCTTATGAAAAGACCTTGTGGCTGGCACAGCACTGAGCAGGAAATGAGGTCCTCTCCGGTTTGGGACAGAGATGACTGGAGTTACAGAAAGCTGTAAAGCAAAATCAGCATCTCCTGAGTCACAGACTTTAAACTCTGCTGGACCCCGCAGTTCCCAGGGTGACCTGGCCCACCAGCGCTGCCTCTCCCACACCCCCTCCCACCGAGTGCCCAGGGGAGCACCCTGCACCCCGTGGGGTGGCATGGCTAGGGACTGATTTCATGTGGGAGAGGGGAACAGAGGCCACCACGGTGCCCTGTTCTCCCCGTGTGCCCCAGCCTGGTGCTCAGCACCCTCCTGAGGGAATCCCTTTCTCCCTCGTCTTTACCAGAATGATTTTTGGCACATTATGTGGTGTTTTTCTAACAATTTCACAAGGCTTTTATGTCGGCCTATAGCTTGGGGATCTTTGTGTGGCCTACCCTCCTCCAGGAATTGCACATATAAATCACTGGAAAGCAGGAAACCCTTAAGACCTGGTAGGAAGCTGTTTGCCACATTCGCCTCAGCACAGACAGCTGTGGACCACCGAGCATCTTGCCTTGTAGGTCCTGCAGTGACCCAGACACCTGGACCTGATACAGAGGAACTTGGCCCCCTTCTTCCAAGACCTCTGAGCCAGAAAGTGAGCTCCTGGAGCAGGGTTAGAAACTCCTACTCAATTCATGGAGCAGGGCTCCCCGATCTTCGCTGTGTAACACTTTTACTCCGAACTCCCTCAATGCCATTGAAACAATAATATTTAGACCATTTGGGGCTGAGATTATTGCTTTAATAAATTGGGTTTTTATTGGTTCATTGTGGCAAATAAGCCCCCGATTGATTTTGCTCCTAATCAGCATGGAGAATGCATTCCGCTGTAATTAAATCCCGTGTAACTGGGCACTCTGTGTTCGCTTGTCTCTTAGCTTGCAGTGGCATGAGATACAGCACATCAAACGCTATCCTCGCCACGATAGGCACCCTGCCAGCCCGCGGAACGATGATGCTCGCCTTTAGCGTGCTTGCAATGTGTACGGCTGGAGCGCGTTTGGAGCAGCGAGCAGCGCTTGGAAGATGTAGGAAACTTATTAGAGGAGGAAGATGGCCAGGGATAAGGTCTTTTCTCTCGAGGAAGGTTTGACCCCCCTCTCTGAAAACACTGCGAGGGAGGCGGGGGCCGCTGCCCCTCGCGCTCTCCACAGGTCCCGCAGCCCCCGGCGCGGCTCCGCTNGCACCGTGAGAGCAACTGTGCCGCGTACAGCCACAGCGGCCATCAGTCACTGAAAGCCACACGCTTCAGTGGACCGGGGATAAAAAGAAGTCCTGGTGACGCCTGGTTAAACCACTGACCCTCTTGCGAGGGCTGGAGGAGGGGGGAAGGCGGCCCGGCTTTGGGGGGCTGTGCAGGGCGATCCCCGGCGGGGCCGTGCCCGCTCCCGGGGCTGGCAGCGCTGCCCCAAAGGGGACTCGGGGCAGCGGTTCCGGGGCGCCCCACGGGGGAACGAGGGACGGGGAGGGGCCCCGGGCAGAATCCCCGGCCCTGCCGTGTCCCTGGGCGGGCACGGGGCTCCCTCCGAAATGGTTATTTTCATATCGGCTTGGGTGGAAACACCAACCCGTGGGCAGGGTGTGCTCTAAGCCGCGGAGTAAACACTGCCCTCGGTCCCCTGTCCCTGCTGCACACCCCGGGTTACCCGCACACATGCGCAGGAAAACAACTCAGCACGTTCAGATGCTCTCTGGAAGGGGAAGGCTTTAGTTTCAAATTAGGAAGCTCTCTGAGATGAACGATAAACTCCGCTTTGGTCAGGCTATGGTGTTCGATCATATCTTTGTGGTTTTGTCCTCACCGAAAAGGGCCCCGGAGGCTCAATCAAGAAACAGAATTTCAGATAGTTTGATTTGACATAAGGAAACTTTGCATTTGTAATATTATAAGACTCTAAAGGGGAAAAAAAATGAAACCTCTGTAGCTGAGACAAGAAGTGTGCCTAAGTGCCACTACATTTCAATCCCCATTCGGATATAATTTAAGTCTTCTTTGGCTTACAGTAATATACTCTCCAACCTTGAGGCTATCCAAAAGGGGGGATTTAATGAGGCTGAGTTTATACACTTATATAATTTAGGGGTTTCGCTGTAGCTGTAAAATGACAATTGCTACATGTGTAGTGCAAAGGAGCTGAAATCCCATCCAGGGACCAAGTTGGTTATTTCTGAAGGAGCTGTCATTTCCAGCAGGAGGGCACAATGAGAAGGCCAGGAGCAATGGAGCTCTGATCTCCACCAAGGAGAGATAACCACCTGATTAAAATGGAGCTCTTGTTCCCTCGTTACTCGATCGTCGTGTGAACTTACCTTATTTACAATTATAGGCAATGAGTGAGTCGCCCAGATTGTAATACACCTATAGCTTTGGGTTTACTCCTCCCTTTGTTATCGAGACCATCTCTCGGACAGATTTCTGGAGCACTCATAGCATGTGAGCACAGAAAGTCTCTCAAGGAGGGAGGGGGTGTGTGCGTTCAGAGCCCGCAGTGCGAGCGCAGCGCGTTCAGCCTCCCACACGCCCCCGCTGGGAAGCGAGCGGGAGGCCGGGCCCAGCAGAACCAGCCTGTCGAAATCAGGATGTTTCCAGCACGCAGGCACGTGTGAACACCAGCAGAAAGCACAGGGGCTCGGCAGTGGGTGAAGGACTGTTTCATACTGCACATCTGGTATTCGCTCATTTTCCAGGTGAAGCCAGGCACGGCGGCTGGGGGAGGACACCCAATCTCGGGCCACTCTGGAGCCCAGGTGTGCACCAATGGCACCAGACAATGATGCACCTCTACGCTGAAATTTAACGCATTGTTCTCCATTTTAATATTAAATGGTGCAGTGTTTGCCAGATTATTATCCCACTATTGCTTGTGCATTTGTCTCTTATGTCTAGTGCCTGTCATTACACAAAGCGTTTTGAAGAGCTAATTTCAAAAGACAGAAAGTCTACACTTACTATAAAAGTCATTAAATTAGCATGACAAGCATAAAGTTCCTAGGTTATAATTTGGTTATAGATCTGAAATCTTCCCTGCTTTCTCTCTCCACTTGAAGGATGAAGGCTGAAGCGAGGCACCGACTCGAAGTTAGGACAATTGAACTGTCGATTGTTTGGTGGAGAAACAGGGAAGAGATGCGGGCTCCAGCACCATCTTTTTGGCAGAGCAGTGGGTGACAAGAAAGAGTTCTGATTTTCTCTCACATCTCCCAGCAGCCAGAGAAAGGTGTGATCAGATGGTCCTCTACTACAACAGGTGGGAGAAAAAAAAAAAAAAAAAAAAAAAAAAAAGTACGCATGCCTTTTATACCCCGCTAAATGCTAAGATGGGAAGATGTGTTATAAAAGCAGCCATTGGCTGTTTCCCCTAAGGCTGCAACATCCCCTTCATTTTAATCGCTTCTTCGTTTCGGAAGAAAGCTGTGGAGAGGAGGGGGAGCGCTCCTTCCCGCAGCTCCCCGTGCATCTGCACTGACGGGGGACTGCAGGAAGCCCCGCTGGTGCCAGGACCGGCAGCGTGGGAGCGCCCGCTCTGCCCGGCCGGGCATCCTCTCCCTGACACGTTGCATTTCCACAACGAGAAAATTAGAGAAGGGACGGGGTATTCAAACGCGATGCTCGCAGAAGAGGCTGCCCTAGTAGTTATTTAGTCTAAAAATCTGCTGTCAACTTTTTTATTTTTTTTCCCCCGCCAGGTTCAGCGAGGTGCGTTTCTTTGCGCTGTTTCGTTTGCTTTTAACCAGGCATGCTGCGAATTGTGGAAGCTTTCCATTTACCTTTTCTTCTTTAAGCGTTTTAATTATCATCACTGACCTGTTGGGCATACCTACAGTATCAATGTCCCTTTTACATCGCTGCCTTCCCTTTCTCTGCATGTTTCTGCTATTTAACACTTGCTACCTTTGCCATTAGAGTCCTAGAGTGACCCCCATGGGTATCTTTGAAAGAAAGACCCTCTGCATTCCAGCACTGCCTCCTTACCCAAGTAATAGCAAAGGGACCATTCAGACACATGGACCACACTGAAGCATTAATTAGGCTGATGAAATCCATAGAAATGTATGGATTCAGCATAATCGAGTTTCTTCTGCTGACTATAGTTAAGGAATACGTGAGCAGCTGGGAGAATAGAAAGTACTGTTAGGGTGAAGTCATGCATGTAATTGAGTATATTTAACATAACCATTTTAATGATCGGTGATTAAAAGTGCATCTACTTAAATTGTATACCT